TTTTATTGTCTTGATGTTGGTGACGAATGGAATTGGGCAACAGACAGAGCCTATGAAAGCCCTTTCCATACAACTTAAACAAGTACACAGACACATCAATCAAAATTTAAGATATTAAATTATAATGATAGCATTCCAGAAAAAGAATTTAGAATATAGATTCAGTTGAATAATTATCTAACAGAAATGTTAGGCAGGCATTACCATCATTTAAATTATAGTGTTAAAGAATAGTAAGATTAGATAGGTAATATAATTATATATAACAAGATGGAGTCAAAGTTTGTCAATTGATCACGGCACAGGCTGCAGGTTCAAACAGTCCATATACCCACAATCCTGAGCCGAGTCCGTAAAAATTGACAGGCGGACCAAGCTTAAGATAACAAATTCAAATTAAAAATAGAAAACAAAAAATGTATACATCAGTTATGAATCACTGAACCAAATCAAGAATAGATTTATTTATATTTGCATCAAGTGTATGAGATCCTTTAAGAAATGTATCAGTGGTAAGAGGTAAAGAATCACTAAGAGTAGAAAGAGAATTAGGGAGGTGTTGTCTTTGGATAGTAAAGAAGGGACAATGGAAAAAGAAGTGAGTAGGATCTTCAACTGGGTGGCCACAACTACAGGCAGGGTTGTCTTTAAGGTGGGAATTAAATAAGTCAAAATTTAGATTAATTGCAGAGTTTCTTAGTTGACACAAGATTATGTTTGCCTTTCTGTTACCGTAATATTGTGACAAAAATATTTTTTATTGCATAAATGGATGTCAATGAGGGAAACAGACAGGATGGGTCGTTCCATTCAGTCATGAGTTTTGGAAAGAAACTAGTGCTATATTGACGAGTTCTAGCAAGGAGCACATCAAGCAACCTATTGTGTCGAAGAGGATAATGAGCAGTATTATTGTTGATAAAAGGCTGGATAGAATCAGTTACATGAGGAGGGCATCTGTTATTTAAAATATTTTAAAAATGGATATTTTGATGTAGGTGTCTTCGTTTAGCTAATGGTATTAATCTGGACTCATTGTAAAGGATAGCATGACTGGTGCCCCGTCTCAGACCAGTAATAATGTGTTTTGCCTCTAATTGAACTGATTCTAAAATGTTGCATTCCCTTTCTGTGCAGTTAGACCAAACAATATCAGCATATTCTAAAATAGGACCAATAAATGTAATATATATTAATTCAAGTGACTTTCTGTCAATTTTGTACTTTAACATTCTAAGAATATTTATTCGTTTATAAGCTTTCTCATACATAAAGCTTATGTGGTAGGACCAATTAGCATGACTGTTAAAAATTAGAACTAGATGCTTATGACATGTAACATTTTTAATAACTGAGTTATTAAAATAAAGATTTGGATGCAGCATTTCAGAATCTATTCACCTAGAAAAAAGTAGGGATTCAGTCTTATCCGGATTAAAAATAATACCCAACCTATTGGCCCATCTAGAAATTTTTCGGAGATCATCATTTAGTATATCAGCCGCATCTTGCCTGTCACCCTCAATTAGGCCATATAAAGACGTGTCATCAGCAAATAATTTCACATTAGATAGTAAATCATCACCAATATCATTCATATATAGCAAGAACAGATAAGGACCAAGAACTGAACCTTGTGGGACCCCAGCCTGTAATGTTTTCTAGTTGGACCTGTACCCATCTAGGACCACTCTCTGTTTCCTGTCAGATAAATAAGATGAAAACCACTTTAACATGTTATTACTAATACCATATTTTTTCAATTTGTAAATTAATCCATCATGCCAAACTCTATCAAACGCTTTGCTAATATCACAAAATATCATTCTTGCTTCTTTACCTTTATCCAAAAGTTTAATAATTTCATCATATATAATTAAAAGTTGATTAACAGTAGAATCTTTTGGTAAGAAACCTGATTGGTTTCTGGAGATAATAACTATCTGAAATCTCTCAGGATTGGTCCGGATCCTGGCGGATGCTGTATAAGGAGGAAACGCACACCCTTCCAGAACACTTTATTTTGCTCTCCTTTAACTTACATTTTGCCGTGGATGTATAACCTGTCAGTGTCTCCTACAATACATCATTTAGAGTGGCAACTGTAATCCTTAAAACGACTCTTCAAAAGGAGGCGGCAATGATAACCAGACACTCCTAGAGAAATCCGACTTGTCACACACAGGCTGGCTAGGTTGTTAATAGCATAATGAATAATGTATTAAGTCAAAGATTGTAAATAATGAAACTTTAGATTATTTAAAGGGCATTATTCAGTCTAATCTCTGAGATTCGACCCCATAAAATATCCTCTTAATCCAACTCGGTCATGTCAGTGTACGATAACGTATTTAACTATTGGGATTAATATATCTGTACCTGTGTACTTTGCCACTTAGACCATTGACAGTTATTTTTATAGGATTTGTCTGATATTCTATCAATTGACTGTGTAATCTTGTCAGCGAAATCTGATGAAATGAGAATTAAAGATCCTCTTCGATCTGTTAAATTATCTGATGCACCTCTATGTGAAACAATTACTCACTTCTATACCTATGTGATTTCCGTATTTGTTCAATGAAGTTAATTATATTGCTTTTGTCGTTAAAGATCTGCTTATTAAAACATAATACCATTGTTTTATATATTCTTTAAGAATTAAAACACATAGGATCATTAATGATGTTACTGACGTGAACTGATGTTGTGAACAGTATCTTTGAATACATGCGGCAGTAGTATTGTTTTAACAGTAGTAGTACACCACAACCCGAGCCTTCACTACATCGCATTGTCAACGATATAGTGTTGTAAAAAGTAATATATCTAAGTTTTTTTATAACGACTTCGACTTGTGGAAGGATGGCGTGGTATATACAAAATTTAGCTTTACCAGCCTATGATATGGCATCAACCACTGTTTGTCAGAATTGTTCAAATATATACAATATCGCTTGCAATATGTCAAGCTTGATATATGTTAATTCACTACAGAATAATCTGTACATGTTTGTATGATTTAAACATTACTTTTTCTGTTATTTCCATTATATTGTACATTTCATTGTCATGTGATAATTATATAATTCTAACCGGTTGATGAGGTTGATCATTCTATTGTTGTTGGTTACTGTTGTTAGTGAAATAAAACAATTTACTGATAGCAACATCCTACAACTTCTTTTAATATTCTCTAAAAACACATGAAATAAGGCGAATGATAGAAAAAATAAGTTTTTCCCCATATTTGTTACAAAATCAACAATCACTATAGTCATGTACCTGTAATTCGTATTCTTGAAAAAGTTCAAAGTAAAGTTTGTGTAGTTTGAAAAAAAAGATAATTTTCGAGGGAAAATGATCCCTCATTTCGGGGTGGACTTTTTCTCATCTAATTCCTAAAAGCAAAAATATGCAATATCGGTACATTGCTTCTTGAGAATAAGTTTTATATGTCAACAGTCCTACTGCTGTCCTGGTACTTTTTGCTTAAGCATATTTCATTCATGAGTACACCGGTACTGTATAAAGAAACAAATCTGACAGGATCAGCCATTGTTGTGTTATGTTGATAAAATTGACGAAAGAAAAGTCGAAAAACGATACTGATGTAGACTGTTTATGACTGATCGCTTCCTTTGTATTTGTGTTGATTTGTTTCCAAAATGAAACAGATATTTAATGTCTTTCCATGGCACAATACTGTACGGTTAGTGTATAGTAGCACCTTCTACAGGATAACTCATTCATCATGTTTAAATCTCTTATCATTCGGTGTATAAACACGTTACATAGTCATCTGGTTATTTCTGTATCTACATCCTATAATATGTAACAGTATAGAGAACTGGCCGTCTTGGTGGATCATTTATAAACACCCTGTAATAGTCCTCTGTTTCTATAATAACCAGCCACTTATCTCGAAAGGTATTCTGGTATTGTCACTGTGTATAATACTTTATCTGACAATGTTTCTATATTTATAAAATATAACTACCTGTCTCGTTATGCATCCTTAGTATAGTCATTGTTTATAATACTTTACCTGAAAAAACTAGATTTATTGTGACTGTCACCCACACGACACATGAGTAGTAAACAACAGTTGTACACATTATCGGTCAATTTGGTTGATACATGTATGTGTTTGTGACTATGTCGTTATGTATGATAAATAAACAAAGCCATTATGATGATACAACACTGCAGCGTTTAATGTCACGGATATATAACAGTTGAGCAAGTATTAAAATCAAGATATTCCTTGAGCATTCTCATCCATACATTCTCTTGTCTCGTCCTAGATATTTATATTTACACATTTACAAGTTATATACACAAAAAGTCAACACACGTTACAAAACCTAGACGAAACTATATAATACTGTTGTAAAGGCGCGCAACGATAACTTGTTACAGTATTTATATAAATCAATATTTATATACAAAATATATCACAGATTTCTTGGACGGCGTTTTATGGGAGAGTTCACTTCCGATTGAAGAAGTTACCTCCCTTCCATAGCGAGTATGTTATTATACACATTGTCACACAGTATGAGAGTAATAATGATAAGTAGTGTTACAGATGACATTAAATATGTTTTGATCACATAAACAGGAGATACATTTAGATAAATAAAACATTAAAAATAACTTAAAGGGCATAAAAACATCTACAAATATATGTAATTGTGGGAATAATCAGGTGTGTTTCCGATACATCATTTCTACTTTATCATCTATTTGTTAGCTCATTCCATCACACAGTTAACTAACGTTCAGTATATTTGGTAGATGAACATCTCCTAATCTAGCTGATGCACCTAACACTGAGGTACGCTTTCGGTCGAACTATTCACTAGTTAGATACTCTGGTAGCATATTGATTTTCATCTGCGTGAGTAGTATTTAATAATTAGTTATAATCATTGTAAAGCGTGATTTCATATCACTTTCCGTATATCAACGAATGATAATGTGGATTCTGTGGAGATTCAGTGATACAGGGTTTCAAACAGTAAATTAATAACATGTAGTTGACGACGATCAGGTAAGCTACCAGTGTCACAGTACGACTAACTATGAAGGCCAACAATTGAGTGTAAAGATAGTTCCTCATAGAAGAATACAGATGATAAAAACGAATGGTTCAATTTAATTGTGATTTGGTGCGAAATATGCCTATACAGATAATGAAACTTTAACGCTGTTCTTGTAGTGCACCTTCCAAAACAATTCCTTATTAATATTGTGCAGACTTTAATGTACAAATATATAATTAAGTGGTGCGATGTTTTCTTCCTGAATTCCATCTTTCAAATAATAATTGTACAGAATGGTTAGATTGTCTCTAGTACTGGTTTGATATTAAAAGGTATTGGGACTTGTCACATCCACTCGTTGCTCCGCTGGTGCCGGTTTTGATTGCTTAGCTGCAGCATCTTCCTGTCTGCCATGAGCGGATGTCGTAAACCGGAAAGAGGTCGCTGGGGCAGGTGGAGCCTCAGTCTTCATAGGAGTTCGTCTGCCAGCATTAGTCGGCGGGCGTGTAAATTGTTTCTTGAATGCTTCACTTACTGGTGGCTGGATATTGGTTGTAAGTTCTACAAAAGTAACGACGAAGGTTATGATTACGACAAGGATAGAATAACGTATACAGACTAGAAGGCGCACATCTCATGTTACTTTCATGGGCCAGAAGGCGATAAAGAGGCACTTTTATGTATACGGACCAGAAGACATCAATGATATTGTTACATATATCGACCAGGGGGGCGATATAGAGGCACTGTTATGTACATGGACAACAAGACAACAAAGGTATTGTTACATATATCGACCAGGGGGCGATATAGAGGCATTATTACGTATGCGGGCATCAAGACAACAATGATATTTTTAAATATATCGACCAGGGGGCGATGGGGCACTGTTTTATACATATGGACAAGAGATGACAACAAATCTATTGTTATATACATTGGCCAGAATGTCATAGAGACACTATTAGGTATATATACATATGAACCAGAAGGTGAGAAACGCAATATGACACAGAGAGATCATAAGCTGACAAATGTATTGCCATATACATGGACTATATGGATGGAAAAGTAAAGCTGCATATTTACATACACGGACCATTATATGACAAAGGTAACGTTAAGGTTACATACATTGTTCAAGGAACAGAAGTGATATAAGTGTTTTACATACGTGGACCCGAATCTGACATAGGTAATGTTACACACATGGAAAAGTAGATGACACAGGCATTGTTACAAACGTGGACCAGAAGGCATCAAATATAATGTTACATACGTGGACTAGAAGACATCAAAGATAATGTTACAAACGTGGACCAGAAGACATTAAAGATAATGTTACATACGTGGACCAGAAGACATTAAAGATAATGTTACAAACGTGGACCAGAAGACATAAAAGATAATGTTTCTTATATGGACCAGAAGACATCAAAACTAATGTTATATACGTGGACTAGACGGCATCACATATTATGTCACATACGTGGACTAGATGGCATCAAATATAATGTTATATACATAATGCATGTTAATCATGCTTAATCCATAATTATAATATTGTCAAATAAATTGATTAACTTTAAGGTCACATCAGTACTTGCGGCCTAACATGAATCACTTCAAATAGCTTCTCGCCTTAACATCCAATGTGAGCGACATTTACATACCACTAATAATAGTTATAGTCTGTCAAGGGAGCTAATCCATCACATATCACAGGTGATGCTGATTTATATTATCTGTGATTGATACAGTTTGTTTACATTGAAATGTATTGTACAACAAAACACAAAGGGTTGCAATGAAGTTATTTATTGAATACTTCGCTGGCTGTTTAAAAAGTCTTGACAACAGATTCCTTGTAGGTAACTCACAGTTTCCTATATTGTATGTTTAAAATTACAAAAGGAGCAAAATAATTAATGGTTAAAGCAGTTCGACGACAATCAAAATAGAGCAAGCATGAGGGACAAAATAAACAATAACTAAGTAGGTAGTACGAAACAGCTATGACGTTTTTATTATTTGACGCTCTACACACAAGGATCTGTATACTTACACTAAACTTGAAATTATTGTCATAACAACACTCCTTTGAATATACAGAATGTTTCTTACAACATACATGCGCGATTAAAGGTCTAGTTTTTACCATAGGAAGGTCCTGCTATTTAACTATTGTAACATTTTATCATATAAGATCCCAGCGTTTTAGTGCGACGTAATGCCACCACCAAAAGTCAAACTCTCATAATATGATTTCAAGGTTAACTTCTGTTAAGTAAATCCGAAGGGATCTTGGCGCCAACCATTCTTAGATCTTTGTTTATTTCTTAAAAGATCTTTTCTCTTCTTTTTCCTGCTTTCCTGTTGTTGTATGAGATTTATAAAGTCCTCTTTTAGAAACAGCGATACTATTTGCCAAATCCAAATATTCGCCTATAATTGACATTTTAGTTTTTTTATAAACAATCGCAAACTTAACAGGACACAACCAGTGACCAATGGGCACCTACATAAATGTATATATGGGCAATGAGAACGATCCATCCCTGACTACTAGAAAACTGCATTTGCTAACTTCTAATGCCAAATCAAAGATGGCCGTCTCGCGGTCATTTAGTTTCTTGTCTCCTCACTAGTTCCAAAATTAAACGCAAACAATAAGGGACAAAGGGGAACATAGAAATTAATTTTAGCGACATCCAGCCAGTAATGAATAAGAACTTTCATTGTAAAAATCCTAAATATCCGCCTGTTGGTCGTTTTATTTTTTCCGATCAGTTTCGATCAGTTCCAAAATCAAACGGACATAACTAGAGACCAAAAGGAATCACTAAGTAAAGTTTGAGAGAGACCCTTTCATTGCTCCTCAAGAAATAGCGATGACATTTTTTCATAGTGAAAATTCTCTCAAGGATTAGCGATATGAACAATTGTTTATGGACAGAACGCGGACCATGGACGAAGGGCGATTTGCATAACCCATCATCATCAAATGATGGGCTCTAAAAAGCAACACAATGCTCCAGCAAAACAATACGAAATCAAAACGAATGTATCAAATATTTTGATATTCTTTTGCACAATACAGGTGAACATAAACAAGCCAGGTGAAACGTTACAAAGACAAAAAGCTTATTACTAGTCACTTCATTGTCGTAATATTGGTCATGCCAACTAAATTATATCGTAGGAATATAGCTAAAGAACCGTCAGCTGAAATGATGTCTAAGAGACTGCTATGGTCGGGTTACATAAATTTGACCAGAAGGCGACATATGTATTGTTACAATAATTGATAATAGTCTTTAGGTATTAAACCACGTCATAAAATAGATACCAGGAATTCAACTTCTGTCTGGTAAAAAAACATTATATATCTACAGGTACAATATCAATTCAGCTAATGGCACATACTGATTGATATATGTACAAGATATATATACTTAATAACTGTTGGGGTATTTCTATACTAATTTTCAGAAACTGTCAAGAAATGCTTCACAATGTAGTGTAGCTGAAACGAAACATCAGTGATATAACCACAAGAAATGCTTGAATTAGGAAACGGTTTAAATTGAACATGTTATTAATGTCGATGTCTGTTAGGTTCTGTAAATCGATAAGACCAACTAGCTTTGTTTTAGCTGTTTTTCACCTCAGTTGATTTGAGGTAGATCTATCACCAAACCATTATGTATGACGTAAGCCTTGGTAATGTGTATGCGTGTTGTTTGTTTGGACAATCATATGGTGACATAAGCGACATTTAAGCTGCACAATCATTGTATACCTCCTACCTCCTGGAAACCTAAAACTTCCGGGAGGAACTCAAACTCTGGAAAAACCAGCAACACATTTGTCACAAGAAACATTTAGGTCGTCATTCCTGCTGCAGTACTTTTAATTAAATTTAATATGATTTGTCTTATCTACGTTATGAACCCTCACGAAGCTATTGGACTGTTGGAAACATAACTAAAAGCTAGGTATGATATATTTAAGTTATTTTAGTTCACTTGGTAAGATTAAGATATTTTCCAGGGTTCGTTTTCAATTGTTTTCATGAAATTGCTTTTGGTGACAATTAGATATGATTTAAAGGTAACGTTGTTTAGACGGATAAAAATGAAGGCAGTTCTATTACAAGAATAATTCTATGCAGTAGTAATGTTAAAAGAGACTTTTTATGATTAAACACGAAACACATTAGGTCAATATACATAAGAAAATAACTATTAAAATACGTGTTCATAAAGATACACTTTAACTTTACACGTACTTGATGAAAATGGTCATTTGCAGCTTTAAATGTCACAATAAATAGTCAAAATATTCAATCCCAGCACTGCAGACACAAGTAAAAAAGCCATTTTCTATCCTAGATTTGGTAAATTTGTAAGAAAATTCCGTTCAGACGTATCAGAATATGTAACGAACACTTCATTTTGTCACTCTTCAAAAAACAAAAGAGCCTAAACATTTCGTATACATCAGGTGTAAAATGTAATGTAGCCAATAAGAACAATCTTTTAATGATCAATTGTATAATAAAGGTCAATCATTGTTTTTACTACAGTTTATAGGGAAGTCTCCCTACATATTACGTACACGGGTATAAATACTAATCTATCAAAATAAAGTGTCTTAATAGATTTATTGAGCAAACATGTCAGGAAAAAACATTATTGTCTAAGATGTGTGAAGTAGCACTCACCGTCTTGGTCAGCAATAACCGGTTTAAGTGGGGCCTTTGGGACAAAGGATTCCATCTGGGGCTCCCCTGGGACTCCCTGATCCTCCAGGATGAGCCTTTAATACACAAGGTGTAGATATACATGACATACTGATGATACATTTGATGACATATGCATGACATTTAAACTCACACGAAGGGAGAATGTGACATTTAAAAACAATACATCAGTGTAAAACATACAAATGTCATCCATTACTTGATATTAATTCTGAAAAAATAAACGTATTAATATAGAAAAAATAATATAATTAAAGCAACCATACATAAATTAAAATTAATTAAGTAATGTAAATATTACAAACGTTACATCACACACACACATAGAATATGAAACAGAGACGGAACAAGTTTAAAAAATAGTCAGTTACTTTGTCTTTGTTTTATGTTCGATGTGAGGTATGTAACTTTTAAAAATATTTTGAGTTTTGATAAAGGGGCAGGTTGCCTCGGACTTCTTCTCCGTACTGTCGTTATTACGTCATTGATTATATATGTATTCCAGTTATATTCATCCAATGAACATCTATTGTTTTGATCCAGTATCAATATTGAACCATACCGTCGATATCACTTACTAGATTTAGATTTGATATAGAAACACTTCTGATTATTAAAGCATAAACACTTTTATATTGTATCTTTAGACGTTTTACAATTAGTTTTGCTACCTCAGTAGGCCTATATGGTACCACAATATGACAATATGAATAACGTCTTTGTTGTCCATTATGACTTATTAGAAACGGGAGATGATTAATTATATGTTAATGTGTATCTATTTAATTCTAGTTTCAATGCCTTTAAAAAATGCTTGTATTTCCCCTTTCGCGAGGATTTGCTCTCAATAACTGTATAAAAAGAGCATATTTTCAACGTTTTCTGTCCAAAGATATCTAATTTAATCCATAGTATCCTTCATAGCCCTCCTTCCCAGTGACATGTGATACCTTAAACATTAGGCCACAGATATAAAGTGATTGTTAATACTACACAAGATAACCCATTATAACATTATATTGTAAAATAAATTACCTGTCAATTGTCTTCTCCATGTCACTCGGTAAGGTTTGTTTCTGACTCTCGCCAATAGGGGGCAGGATGGTTCTTTGCTCGTCCGCAAACTCTGGGTTGTAATCATGTTTGTAGTAGGTATCCCGAGAACCCATAGCCGCCTTAATCATGTCCATCACCATCGTTTTCTCTGTATCAATAATGGTAAAAATTATTTACTGTCCTCTGTATCAAAATACTTAACCATACCTAACGTTACTCTAAAGTATAATTGTATTAATTTCATAAGTCATCTATAGCATTACAGCCTTGTTTGTATTAAGGTCTGTAGTCATCTTTAACATTACCGCCTTGTTTGTATGTATTAAGGTCTGTAGTCATCTGTAACATTACCGCCTTGTTTGTTTATATTAAGGTCTGTAGTCATCTGTGACATTACCGCCTTGTTTGTTTATATTAAGGTCTGTAGTCATCTGTAACATTACCGCCTTGTTTATATGTATGAAGGTCTATAGTCCTGTAGAACATCGTCGTTATGTTTGCTTGTATTTAGGTCTCTATTCGTCTTACAATTGCAGTCTTGTGTAATCGTCTTTTTTTAAGAGTAGATTGCAATAATCTTTAGTTATTTTACACATTGTTGTGGTTGGATCGTTTTCTACACAACAATACACATAGTTGTCTTGTACAGCTGGCATATCTTTTATCATTGTTTATTGGTATGGTGATTTGACAGTAGATGTTATGAAGAAATTACCTCTTTCTCCCGCGGAGCATAGCCAAGCTTGAACGGCGTTGATGTCTTCGGTCTGCAGGATTTGACAAAGCATGGACAACACCTGGACACAAGGTATAATACGCTTAATACATGTCGAAGAACGCTCCAAAAATGCAAAAAATAGATATTTCCACAAGTAAAGAGGGAACAATAGTTGAAATCGGAAAACATATTGAACCTGGCAAAAGTATACAGATTAAAGTGGTCCGTCCGACTAGCTTGGGCACAGGATAACGTAGAATAGAAATAATAAGTGGTAGGAAAGATATTAATTGTATAACGTAGTCGTTTATTTATTGCGGATTAGCCTTCCTTTTTAAAACTGTCCATAGTTTTTGAGTTGTTACCATTATTTACTTACCATACTTTCCATATCTGGCTCTGCTGCTATGTGGCGTAACAGGGGTTCACGCGCACCTTGTCGAGATGCGCGCCGAGAAGCCCCACGCGACATAGCGCGTGAAGGAGGAGGTATAAGTCGACCGGTTTCTGCGGAGTACAGTGTTCTGGGTCGTTCGGGTTCCTTCGGGATCACGGGGGCTTTCGGTTTCGGTTGCTCTTCCCCCATCAAGGCCTGTGTCAGTTGTTGGAGCTCGTTCCTCCATGCTTCAGTTACAGGAACTAGGTGACACAGAAAACATTTTGTTGTATTATAAAACTACTTTACCTTAATACGAAAATTTACATGTACCATAAAGGCGCGCACGCTTGTAAATCCACACTGTAGTGATGTATTTTATTTCACTTATACCTGACAAATCATTTTTCAAGTTTCTTGTACAAATCAATGTCAATACATAATACAATAGAATTAAAGTTAATCGTTTCTTTCAGTTAGTATTCATCAATCTGTAAATCATTTGTATAGATTAATTTGATATACAACAGTACATCTGTATAACCTTTTCATTAATGTGTTATATATATATACACTAGGAAATGTAACCAATCACATTAGGTTAAACAATCTTTCGAATAGCAAAGAAAAAGAAAAAAATATGTTGTAATTACATTGTTTATTTACAAACAAAAAGAACAATACAATATAATCAGAACTGCAATAGGTCAATGTATCTATGTATAAAAATTTCCAATATTCGGTATAATAAGCAACAACACTTTAGAATTGTTAAAGAATCACGTATGTCGCGCGATGTATGGATAAAACGTGATGCTGATATACAGAAATATATCATTTACTTTAATTAGTCAAAATAACATCAAAAAGAATAGAAGCTTAGAACATTACATATTTCTAATGTTCATCGTTGTGTTACATATGTCGTATTTATCTTTGCACACAATCCACAAAGGTCACTCGGCACGTGCTAGCTATAGCGGAAATGAGTATTAATATCACGGCGTGGTAAGAAGGATAACTCTAATGCACTTCTAGGGTAAATTATTATTCGTCATTTGGTCTCACAAATGTTGCTACATGTCAGTCTACACATTTCACAACAAAACGTTAATCATCTGTGGACTCATTCCGGAATTCTGTGAAATGGTCACGTGTTCTCAAACGTCCAAGCTGAACTATGTTGATGTGATTTTCTGCGCACTAAAAGCACGTGACTCATATCCATACCGACCTTGGTTGCATCACCTCAACAAATGATTGTAGCGGTACGAGTACCTAAGCGACCCAATAGATCTGGCGTTACCACTAACGTCAGTACGCGGTGGTCCCTTTTCTGATTAAAAAGCAGACAGGGATTATAGTGAACATCAATGAGAATCATAGCTTTAAATGCAGGCAAATGATTCAGATATATTGGTAGAATTAAACTTATTATCAATTCGAGTCAATAAATCAAAATGAAACTGGAAATCTAGTGCGAAAAAACCACTGTTGCACCGAATTTCACAGGTTTTCACCTTCACTATCTAAAGTCGGTTACGGTCGGTTTATTGATAAAGTCTTAATTGTTATACAATTTATCAACTTAACCAGTATGCCTGTTTCCAGATCTGTTTAATTTCATTATTGAATTGCATCCTGGCTTCGACACCTTTCGTATGTATCTACGATGTGGAAACGTAAATGTTGCTAGCTACATTCCCAGGAATGGCTTTGACATTTAAAGGATTAAGTAGTTTACTATGCAATGCTGTTGTCCGTTGAATAATTGTTTAAGAAATTGCAAAACATATTCATAAAGTAGCAGAATTGTAAATAAATTATAAGGAAGCAAAATCTGGATTTGTATTTTATTTCAAGTAGTCTTGGACAGAAAACTGACATAAAAGGTATCAGAAGTCGGTATTTGATTGCAAAAACTAGAAATTTACTACTCACCCATGCCAACTTTGGGGATGGCCTTCTCCCTCCAGGGGTAACTCTGTAGACCGGTAAAGTACTGCAGACCTGTCACTGTGTTGATAGGATGGAGCTGAGAGTTGACGTTGATGGCGTTAACAGGAACCTTACCATGTTTGCTCATCTTATTATTGTTGAAGGCATTTGGAGGGAATTGCAGGGAGTACTTTGGATTAGAGAAGTAGCCATTGTCGTTCACGGCACAAATAGGCACGTCGAGAAGACCTTTAACAAAGGTAAGAATGGAGATACATACAGCTAATGTATTAATTATGATTATGGGCACGTGTAGAAACCTGTACAAAAATTGTACGAAAGACACAAGTGAAAGCACCTTTAATACAAATATAGCAGAGCCAAACAATAATAAAACATCATACAACTTTTTCGTTCTTCTATGACTCGTTAGTGATTCCAAGTGACTTAAATTTAAATCCCAGGATGCGTATAAAAAATACAAAGTTATCGAAAGAAATGTAAAGATCTAGGAAGAGAGCTCCATTATACCCATAATTCAATAATTTTCATCATTTGATATGTCCATTAATTTTATAAGAATGTGAAGTACATGTATATATTCTGTACCATGCCACTATTCGAATAAATGTAAGCATGTATATATGTAGGTAAGAAAAAGAGAATGTATAAAGGTCTAGAAGACGTCTACCAAAGGTAAGTTAGAGAGTAGACACAAAACACAATGTAATAATAACATTTATAAACACGCTAAGAAGACTTATTCCAAAGGTAAGTAAAAAAGAAGATATTTAGGCAGGTCTTGAAAACCAGTATTAAAGGTACGTATTAGAGGAAATACCTTGGCATGAAGAGAAGACCAGTCTTAAAGGTAAGAGAGGAGATACATACAGCTAATGTACCAATGATAAGTATAGGTTGTTAATGTCATAAAGTGATTATTACAATTAACAGGCAGCATTGTTTTTCCTATTTCTCATACCAAACAGAAGAGTGCACATTTCTGAAGATGAAGTCGTGATCAGCCAATACATTCGATTTGCCGAAAAACAATGAAAAAAAGGGAAGTGACTTTAAATTAAACAAATTCTGTAAGTGTTATTAGTGTTTGTGGAAAGTCGAAAAACCATTATTTATCACATGGGAAAATTTTTAGTGAGAATCATTGTATTTGACAGAGTAAAGGGACTTAGCATTGCAGAAAATAGGTCATAAAACCATGCACTATACAAGAAAATCTTTATTGAGGAAAGCATTTATTCTCGACACGGGAAGAGGAATTTGTAGCAGACGGACATTTAACATTCGAAAAAGAATCAACGTAAAAATGAAACTCCATTAATGTCAACCTGTTAAACATTGCATGTCACACGAGAAAAATACATATGTAGGCCATATTTTGCACCAAAAGGAGTATGCATCGAATCGACTGGTTGTATTGTAGTTCAGAAAGAAAATGGATACGGGTAAATGGAATTATTTTACAATTGAATGGAAACTTGCCAGACTAGTATTTCATATTAGGACGACAATACGCAATGCTTCAAATTGATATTTCCTCAGAAAACGACCACATTGTTAAATAGCTTTATGATCGTTAAATTGAATGTCTGATACACAAATCAGACAACTTAATAAACAGGTGAATGGGTTTTACCAGATGACGTGGATAAACCGTTATAGACTACTGATTACGAGAACGGTCGGTCAGTAAACAACACAACATGCTATCAACAATGGCCGACGTCACGGTCTACGACCTCGGTATGTATAGAGATCTATGGTATTATTCGACAATCACTCTCACTGGCATTCCAACCGAATTACATTTTTATTTTGTTAAAAGTAATATTCCACGAACAATAGCAGGTAATGTCTCGTAGCTATGACGACATGTAAACTTCTCGGGAAAGGTATGTCGTACTTTACGACAGTTGTAAGCATAGTGAAGATCCATTCGTTGAGAGAGGTGATCTCGGTTATACACAAGCTGTCACTCTATGCATTAAATTCAATCAAAATTGTTACATAACATCTGTCAATGGTATTTAAAGCGGAGTAGAGAGTTCACAATACCATCCCCAACGCCACATGATGCTTGATAACGTATTAGAAATTGCATTTTTATGAGATGCATTTATCAAAACAGGTGTACATCCCACGAAATCGGTGCATCCCTCTTTCGCGATTTCGCAATAGAGATATGGGAAGGAACACAGGTATATTGTAACATTATTAAAATTCGGACAAACCCTCTCTACTCATTTGCGTTTAAAGAAAATATTGGATTTTGTCTGCGTGACTATCTCATGACATCGTTTGTTATGTTAACGATTCGCTTTTAGGAAGTATTTATAGGCATTGATTATATTGCAAGATTTAAGATTATTTTACAATGAATATCAGTATTTAGAAATGATTAAAAAATGGCATCAATGTCAATTAAGATCTTAATTTGATTGACAAATATTCTGTCATATGTCATCTGGTGATATTCTCTCTGTCTTTTCCACATTTTCTGTGTAAATGTCTTTCTTGTTTATATTCTGCTCTTGTCTCGTCAACTCTGAATGAATTTGTAGCTTTTCTTATCATGAGACAGGAAAGGGATCACATGCCAATAGGTACACTTTGCATATACATACAGAAGCCCAATTGTCTACATTTGTCAGCATTGATATCATGGACTTCTTACCTTTGATATGTCGAACTCTGTTTGGATGAGGATTATGACGTGTAAAGAACGAGTTCTGGCTGAGCTGACCGAATCGGTAACCTCCATTGGTAGACGGACGACTGCCAAGCTTTCTAAAACTGTCGACGGACGCCATGAAACCTTCGTCAACGGGCCCTGGGCGCGCAATTAAGTCTCCGTTTGTTGGTCGAAACACTTCAGACTGGCTCATCCTGAAACAAAATGAAAACAGACGTCAACAACTATTAATTATTTTCACAAACTCAGGTCATTATTGAAATAGCACTGCCTTGCTATGCTCATATACACACCAGATACAACTGAAATTGTAGTCATTCTGTAGCTGTGATTACATACACACTTTGCCGTCTGTGGTTTACCTGAAATTATGCTTCTTACTTGTGATGTAAATCGATAAATCCAGGCAAAAATGTAACTCTACCCAGCCTTACAAATTATACGTAAGTCGACCAAACTTCACATAGAATTATTAAACCACTGGGCAATGTAAAAGTGTAAACTACTGGGCAATGTCAAAGTGTTCAGCATTGGGCAATGTCATAAAGGTTACAACTGAGCAATGTCAAATTGGTTAGAACTGGTCAATGTCAAATTGGTTAGAACTGTTCAATGTCAAATTGGTTAGAACTGGTCAATGTCAAAGTGTTTACCACTAGACAATTTCAAAGTTATTCTTACTATTGGGCAATGTCAAAATGTTTACCATTGGACAATGTCAAGGAGGACACGAAAGGGCAGAGTCGAAGTGTACTACCTAAAAATGTCAACGTAGTTATCATTGGGCCATGTAAAACTGTTACCATAACCAGAACGGTCAGTCTGTTTACATTGTTACAGTGACCAGAGCGGTCAACCTGTAAACATTGTTACAATGACCAGAGCGGTCAGCAAGTAAACATTGTTACAATGACCAGAGCGGTCAGTATGTAAACATTGTTACAATTACCAGAGCGGTCAGTCTGTTTACATTGTTACATTGACCAGAGCGGTCAGCAAGTAAACATTGTTACAATGACCAGAGCGGTCAGTATGTAAACATTGTTACAATTACCAGAGCGGTCAGTCTGTTTACATTGTTACAGTGACCAGAGCGGTCAGCCTGTAAACATTGTTACAGTGACCAGAGCGGTCAGTCTGTAAACTTTGTTACAATTACCAGAATGGTCAGCTTGTAAACATGATTACAATGACCATTGGATAAATTTCTAGATTTCTTGCAGTATTGCCGTCTCAGTGAGGAGCTGACCGTGTAGATATCACAGAAATCAACTGTATAGACCAATAATGTATTGGTCTGGTACATATTTGATAGCGTCTGTTTTCAAAAGTGCAGACTTGGCATCGCTTGTCTGTCTTTGGGGAGTTGAATTCCCGACCAGATTGGTTAGTATCTGCCCAATCAATAAAGCATTAGTATCGTCAATGCATTCTAAATCACAATAATTGTCTAGTGATTATCTAGTTGTATATAACTTTGTCAACTTAACGCGATACAAACTACCATATGATATATCCTGTCAATCATTACACCCTTGTTACATTGTAGGAGGGCAAAGTTTGACACTTAACCAGGTGATCATTGTTAGCGTTCCCAGCGCCAGCCAAATAGGTATATACGATCGCTTGAAACATTTAACCCAACTGATTGGTAACGTTTCATTAAAAGGTTATAATTTTGATGGAGCTTTCAGTTGTTTTTACAGATAATCAAATCATGAAATTTTCACAACGTAACATGGTGCTAATGGCCTGTTGTCTTTAGGATTGGTTGTCTCTGAAACGAACACCGTGAAAATTCCTTCACCCTGATGACTTCTAAATGAAAATGGCTAATTTCTATTATGGGTGCGTTGTGTATTTGACATGAAATCCTTTTTAATGGTTGCAATTATGCTAAAATGGTGTCAATTTGTTATTCCGTGTACATCATAATTACAGTTAAAATCTCAATGTCGTAGGCTATATTTACATTAACCATTGATCCCTAAAGTGCCATTCTTTATTTAGGAGTCGTTTTGTCATTGTTTCGTACCTTTGAAATTATTCAAACCTGTATATTAAGTGACTAATATGCCTTTAATTCCACATTTACAGAAATGTATACATTTGTATCTCGCATCATATCACCAAGCTTTAATCCGATTTCATAATTGAATAAACTAGAACGAGTACAGATTATATACAACAGTAGAATTGCGACCTTTGACCCTTAACACGCGTATAACAATAGCGACAACGTTGAAAACAATGGAGCAGGTTGACACAATATCACAAGAAGTTTTCTGCCTCATTGCAAACTATTTTGATCATAATTATAACGGTTATTTGATTGATTTTTAGATTACTTACGCGTCGTTACTTTGTGATACTTTTGTATCATGGTTGAATATTAGCTACATATTGTTTGTTTGTTTAACCGGTATATCACTTAACATGCATAATTATTACTAGTATACGTTTTTGTAGATACATATTACTTCAATACTGTCAGAGTCTCATAGCCTGTTTTTTCAGTTATATTAATCCCATGATCGTTCGTTTGTCATAAATTACTTTTTAATGAAAAATTAATTGAAAACCTGGGTCATTGGGTTCGTAATCGATATTGTTGTCTTGGTGATCACACACTTATACGAATATATGTAATCATTTCATGCTGCGTTCTTTTGATATCTATTCATTTATGTTCATTTTAAATTTGTAATTTAAAAACCAAGCCCGCTTGGGAGTGTTAATGATAAAACTCATACTGTCAACTCGACGGGTCATTGAACACTTGGGTTTTACAGTATATAAGTATATATATTCCCATCCCGATTTTTGATAAAGATCACCAGTAAATCCATTTTACTGGTTGCTATTTAAAACTTTAAATCTTTCATTATCTATTTCCAATGCATTAATCATAAAGGCTAAAATGTATGATTTACGTCAAGTGCTTTACTGTGTTTTACCTTAGTCACCAGATAAGATCACCTGATTTCAATAAACTCTTCAGACACAACCAATACTTAGCTCTAGCCCCTGAGAGATGTTAAAATAGGTTTGCTTTGTATAATAAAGTTTTAAAATGTCATGTATTCACTCGGCTCTTCAAGGTAAAGATTGTTTGAGAGCGTGAGAGTTACAGGTTTTATCCCAGACATGCTGGTATTAGTGTGTTCAACCCGTATATGAGCTTAACTACAAGACATCCAAGAGGAATCGGTAAGTAGTGGAAGAAGTCATAACCTCAATGCCACGTAGTAATTCACTCGAAAAGTGGCACGGTTAAGAATATACCTACGTAGAAAAAATACTAGATTTATTTGATTATGGGGCAATTGCACCGTCTAGATTTTTCTTTTTTTTTATCTCGATATCTGGGTTTTCCTTGGTGGCCTCCTTGGACTGACGAGTCCTAGAAAGCTAGAAGGACGAAATAGCTGTATGATATAGTTTACCTCATTATTAGACGCTGCTGAATCTAACTCTTAATGTCTAGTAAAAGATCGCTTTTCACTTGTGTTTCTTTTGTACAATCAAAATTTAATAGCTTTTTTCCTTCATATTTTCGAAGAAATATACAGAAATGTAGCATGGCTTTATTACACACCATAACTAGGAAATTAACAAGGATATACATAAATTTTACAATAGATATCAACTACATATACTACAGTAAATTTATCATCGCTGGTAACTAACAGAGGATGAGTTCTTCCAACTACAAACGAATCTTTACAATACAAATGTAGAAATAATGAAAATGTTTCCTACTCTAATAAAGTTATTATCTGCAATAAATGTATCTTACGGTGAATCTGAAGTAAAATTGAACGGGGCCAGAGTACTCTGCATTACGTAGAAAAGAGATAGACCAGGTATGTGTTGATTAGTACCAGCCAAGATATACGCTAAGAACCTGGTCTACCACCATTACAAACGACACTAAATCTCCAACAAACATTGGCTATTTGAAGTAGGAAATATCAAATCCACTAAAATATATCTGGAAACGGTCCCCAGGAAGTAACACGGATATCGATCGATTACATACCAGGGATAATGTCTTGTGTATATTACAGTAGTCGGTTATCACCATGTTCCGTCACTATCAAAAAGACAAATATTTATTTATTTCATTTTATCGGAATTCGAATTTAACAAATGGCACACAAAGATATGGCACGAGGTGAGGACAAAGCCGAGCTGAACAGGTCTATTTGGTCACGGAGTGGTTATGGCACCGTTTGTATGCTTTTAAAACGACTCTAACATTGATGATTTAGTCATTGTTGGTAATTCAACTACAAATAAACCAGCTTATCTTTTTGTTTTTAGTGCTTTGATTATAAATGATATATTCAAACGTTACAATAATATTAATGACAATCATATATAGAATATTTCTCGTCGTTAGGATGGTTGTTACAACCAAAAAGTATAAACAAGCAATGATACATGCTTATATATTAAAAGTAAACTATTAATGTTTTGTATGGTAGACAGAATAAGATGCCATCTGGATCCCGGACTAGAGATAAACAAATGTTGATCAGGTGGAACAATTTTAGGGATTCTCCAAAATACAGAACTCATGTGGTAGTTTTTATAGACTTTTTTTTACTAATTCACTAATAAGACCGTAACGGACCAATGTTCTAAACATTTTATGTAATCAAGATATATTACCGATAATTAAATTTTTGAATCGGAAAGACATGGTTTCAATAAACACAATTTTATTCACAAATCCTGGATGCAAACATTTCAGGTCATCGGTGCTTTAATAAAGGTGTTGCCAAAGACAAGCGATCTGAGTAACAAACAATTCGGGATTACAGAGCGTGGTGACAAGCGTGATATCGAGATTGAAGCTACACAGACGACGTTTCAATATCGCCATCATGATTCTGCACGGTTAAACCTCATACAAAGGGTTTCTACTCTTTACCAATTAATAACGAAAATCTGGAAACACGATAAAAGATATTATGACCAAGTGTTTACATTCAGGATGAAACTTGTTTTAATCGACTATACAGTTCGTTGACAAAGAACCGGTAACGATTACAAGTTTGACCTATTCACCAGCATTAGCGTGACTTTTGACCAGCATTCGAAATTGTCATACAAAATAATATATACAACATTATAGTAGTGATACAGATTCACTATTTCACAGAATGATTACATACATATACTGAA